ATGACTATAGTTCATGTCAAAGATCATAAAAATGAGTAGTTATCCCTACCTCAAAAGATGAGACCAAATGGAGATGATGAAGAATTTCCAAAGTGCTCCAAACTTCAAGATTTTCGAATCAAAATGAAGAGCAAGCCAAACCCCACACTTTTTACAAAGGGACAAGGGTGGAAGATCACTCAAACTAGATCAAACCTTAGAGAGAAGTTGAAATCTAGAGAGAGGAGCTCTCTAATGGAGGTTTTGAAAAGTTAGAGAGAGAAAAGGCACCGAAAAAGTGATCCAAAAAGTCAAAATTCGGATTGATATACAAACAGGTCCGCTTGAGCGTAGGATTCCCCACTTGAGCGTCAGACACAGACTCACGCTTGAGCGTCAAAAGCACCGCTCTAGCGCCGGATGCACACTTTTAGAAGTTTTGCAGTCGATGGTCCTCGCTCGAGCGTGAAAGTGGACGCTCGAGCGTCCAACGACCTGCAGAACAAAATACTGAGAGATGGAAAATCACGCTCGAGCGTCAAAACGTCCGCTTGAGCGGAGAAGCAACAACAAGGGCCCGCTCGAGCGTCAAAAGCCCCGCTCGAGCGTGAAGGCCAAAATCTGGGCATCAACTTTTGGTTTCTAAACTCAACCAGCCTGTTCCAAACCTGCCCAACACAACCCAAGACTCAAATATAAAGAGTAAAGGATAGAAACGAGAATGAGACAACGACCAACATCCACGGAACCGAGTCCGGAATACAATAAACAAAGAAGGGAAAATCGGGATCGCTATAAGAGTAAACTATAATTTAATAAATTGTCAACTTATCCATTCTATGGACTCTTAAAGTAGAGAACTCTTATTATAAGTTTGCATAGATCTTAGTCTATGGTTTAATTTTAACCATGCACTTCATAACAAATCATTTTGAACATGAGCTAAGAATATATGTTTGAAAATTTGTGTATGCCAATTTAAATTTAACAATTCAATGCAATTTTGTTTTTATTCATAATTTGTATTTTTAATTGTCTCTCAAGTATAAGATGTTTCTGCAATTTTTAATTTGTATTCATGAATCTTTTGGTAATATACATATATATAGAGAATAAAAGACTGATTTAGTCCCTAAAGTATGCGTTCTTTTTCATTTTAGTCCCTTAAGTTTTAATTTTGTCATTTTGGTCCTCAAAGTTGTCAATTTGAGTCAATTTGGTCCTAAATTTAACATCCGTTAACATAAATATGAATAAAAGATAGTTTGGTCCCTAAAATATGAATTTCTTGTCATTTTAGTCCCTCAAATTTTAAATTTTTTCATTTTGGTCCTCAAAATTGTCAAATTGAGTTAGGACCAAATTGACTTAAATTGACAACGTTGAGGGCCAAAATGACAAAATTTAAAACTTGAAGGACTAAAATGATAAGAAATGCATACTTTAGGAACCAAAACTGTTTTTTATTCATATTTCTATTAATAGACGTTAAGCCTAGGATCAAATTGACAACTTTGATGACCAAAATAACAAATTTAAAACTTAAGGGGACTAAAATGACAAAGAGTACATACTTTAAGGACTAAAATTATCTTTTATCTTATATATATATATGATTTATTTGTTTGCCTGTTATCTATTTGTATAATAGTTACTACTAACTATATATTACTGGAAGCACATCAAAACACCATAACCTTATTATTTTTTTTATAAATAATAAAAAATGTTAGAGATGTGAGAAGAGTATGAAAACTAAGCGAGTAAAAAGGTTAACAAATTTTTTTTTGATGATTGAGTGTCCAAACCAGCTTACGCGTATCTTGACTAATTTTGAGACCTACGCAAAGTGCCCTCTTCAGGTGAATAGGGAAAATTTCAGACAGAATTATAGAAATTATGTACACGGCTTTTACAAACCACATTTAGAAATTAAAACTACAATATCATTAAGTATATACATAAAAAGAAAATATGATAGAGAATGTAGCAACCATTATGGTTATCTCTCCAACCTTCTCATTTATATTGTAAGACAAAATATAAGAAGACCTTAGGCAATTGCTCAAGTAGTCATGGAGAGAGTATTTGAGTGTGAGTGAGGTTTCAAGTTCAGGTCTATATAATAAGGTTAACTTGTATTATAATCTAATATACTAACCATTATTTTGTGTCCCAAAAAAAATATGAAACAAATTTTAAATCATTAAAATGTAATTACCTCTAATTTCAATGACAATCATGTACTACTATCTAATTTTAATTCAAATTCAAATGGCAATTAAACAGATGAAAAAATTTAAAATTTCTAACTTCAATAAAGAACATGTACTATTATTTAATTTTAATTCAAATTCAAATGAGAAAGAAATTTAAAATCATTGAAATGTAATTATCTTTAACTTCAATGAGGAACATGTACTACTATCAATTTTTAATTTAAAGGTAAATTACAAATACACCCCCGAGATTTGTTTAGAGTACAGATTGCTCCCTGTGGTTTGAAAAATTACAAATACCCCCTTATTAGAATTTTTTATTTAACAGAATTAACTAAAAGAATGAAATTCATAATTTCTCTCCTGTACAATACTAAAATTACCTAAATTATTAATTGAAACATATTTCTAACATTATTAAAAATGATTAATTGACTTGATGATTAATTAATAAAATGAGCGATTTATTATGAAATTAGAAACCTCAGGGGATGGAATGAAATTTTCAAAACCACAGGGGATGATTCGTATTTCGATCAAACCTTAAGGAGTGTATTTGTAATTTACCCTTAATTTAAATTTAAATGGCTAGAACACAACATTCATATGCACCACACATACCCATTTACTAGTACTGTTAAAATTATAATTATGTTATGAATGATGCGGTGTAAATATTACAAAATAATCAAAATGATTTGATCCATTAAAACCTAAGAATTTTGGGGTGTTTGCAGAAAATCCTAGCTTTGATGCTAAGATTTGATTTGAAGAATTCCAAAACGAGGTAGTTTCGGGTCAATTTAAATAGATTATCACATACAAAATTCACAACTCTGTCGAAATCCAGATTTTAATAATGAATTTGGCTCTATATGTGGGTCAAATTGGTCCGGTTGGATTGGTTTTTACTAGTGAATTGATTGTTTGTACAATCCTAGTGCTAGTAAAAGCGACCCGTGCAATGAATGCTCAGTTATTATTGTGGTAAATTTGGATTATAAGGTTTTGTTTGATTTACTAATAGGAAAAGTATTAATAATTTCATTAAATTAGTGTGGTATTCATTATCAAATTGGATTAGTAGGATAAATTATTCCCTTATCTATTATTTAATTTTTACATTGGATAAGAAAACATATGAATGTAGGATTATAACTATATTTATCTTCTTTTCCAATCTTACCCTCCATCAATGTTTTTTTACAATCTTTATTTTATCAAATTTTTTTCATAAACGTGGTTTTGAAAAAAATTATAAATAAATAAATAAAAGCAAAATAAAAATTCAAAATACAAAGGCCATGTTTGGTTTGTTTTTTAATTTTTTTTTTAAAAAAATATAAATTAATTTGATAAAATAAATATCAAAAAATATTTTTAAATTTTTACAAATTATTTTTAGCCTTCTAAAATATAAAATTATATAAAAATAATAGGTGTTTTAATTTTTATTTATGGGTAAAAGAGTATTTTTATTTTATTTCTCAGCTCAAGATATATAATTCCACCCCTACCCCATTACTAATAATTCTACAAATTTATTAGATTAATTATCTATTGAATTAATAATCCAGAAACAAAATTTTAAAACAAACACAGGATTACTGAGCTTACGGATTAATAATCTCAATCACGTACTGTTATTCTGTCAATCAAATATGCCCCAAAAGTATAATAATTTTGGAGCTGTTGGTAATTTTTTTTGAGGTATCTAACATTTGTGATTATAAATTAATATTTTAACCTTGTTTTAATACACTTTTTTACCAATTTTAATATTAAGGCCTCGTTTGGGAATAGGCTAATTTAGTAACTTTTTGGCTATTTGGCTAAAAAGGTAGGTAAAAAAAACTTGTATGTTTGGGATGACTTTTTGGCTAATTACGAAAAGATGTGTAAAAAGTAGAGAGAAAAGAGAATCTTTGACTTTTTGGTATGGGTAGTTGGTTTTTTGGCTAATTTAATAATTTTTTGGCTAATTGGCTAAAATAACCTCTTGCCAAACGAGGCCTAAGCAATACTCAAGAACAGTCTTTAACATTTACCTTTATATTATAGCTTTTTTAATAAGGGGGTGGGTTTTTTACATACAAGGACGATGGTAACTTTTAAGGGAAAACAAAGGATTTTAAAATATTTTTTTAACAAAAATAGCTTCTCTAAATGAAAATTAAGAATCCCTTCTAATCAGCTTTTAAAATCAAAATCCTGAATCTGCAGTACAACAACAGAACATTGGACTTCCTGGTGCAGAAGGTAACTCTGCACTTACTGTGACTTCTATGATTTCTTTGATCTAGACGGTATCGTTGTTAGTTCGTAAAGTTTATTATGTAGAAAAACTTGGTAGGATTGTAAGACAGCTGATTGATGGTTCTCTTTCCATCACTGATTCACTGTTGAAGGGTTTTACTCTATATATTCTATGATTACTTCTTTGGTCCTAATCCGAAGTAACAATATTCCCTCCGTACTAAAAAATATCAATATCTGCATTTTAAAAGGGTAATATGTGAAAACTTGAAACTTCTATTTGAGTATGAAAGTGTCTTTGATCAAGGAATCTCCATTTGAATGATTCACGGTCCATATTGTAATGTGTACTGATTTCTACATATATAGTATATGAAAATAATATTGTATATATGAAGATAATATAGTAGATTGATCAATATTAAGCTTTTATTATTATATAGTATAACTTTATACACTCTTCAGTTTTACTCTTTAAAACTAATTGAGTATGTTAGAAAGAAAGATTCCTAAAAATTAAAAATAAGTAAATAAATTGATAAACACATGAAACTTGTTTGTTTTTCGGGAAACATTCCATCAGGTGATGGGACAGAAATTGGTCAAGGGTTTTCTACGCAGATTCATGGCGGACTCGATCAATTGCTGAGGTCTATATTTCCTGCAGAGCATATACATGTTGGTGACGTTAACTTCCGTGGAATGGGTGCAAGTTCTGCTGTAGTTCATGCAGGAACAACTCAGAGTGCTGCCACTACTCAAGTGGGTCAAGTATTCCATCATCTGAGGGAGCAGGTGATATTGAGGATAGAACTACACAAGCATCCTCAACACAAGTGAGGTTGCTTTATTATCAGAGTTTCCCCAGTGTTAAAGATGAAATTTACGATATTTGTAAAATGGCCGTCTAGCCTTTCTAACTGAACATTTTACATATGTACAGGCTGAGGACAACTCAAACAGAGGGGCCTCGTCAAGTAGTCGACATGGCAATCCACCATCCTCTCCAAGCTCCAAACGTCAAAGGGTAATTGCTTCTTTCTTTTAGTATGTCACACTGCACACACATATTCAATTAGAGGTCCTGTGGTTTTCCCTCGATTCTCGCAGAACTGCGGACATTTGTTTGGTGCTTGCTTGTTTTTTTTCCCATTTCAAAGTCTTCCATGTTATCTGGAAAAGTTTGTCTTATCATCCTTGCTCTCACAAAAATTTCTCTGCTAATAACCACCCATTCTAGAATTATTTAATAGCTATCTGCAACCCCCCTCTAATTATATGATTGAGCATATGCATTTATGTACATGGATTACCTAAAAATTTTCTTAGAAAACGAAATCCCAGTCTTGCCTGAGTGAAGTTATTTTGGGGGCAACCAGCAAAGTTTATTAACAAAAAATGGCCTAAGGGCTGTGATGTTGAATAATTTCTCTGCTAATAACCACCCATTCTAGAATTATTTAATAGCTATCTGCAACCCCCCTCTAATTATATGATTGAGCAAATGCATTTATGTACATGGATTACCTAAAAATTTTCTTAGAAAACGAAATCCCGGTCTTGCCTGAGTGAAGTTATTTTGGGGGCAACCAGCAAAGTTTATTAACAAAAAATGGCCTAAGGCCTGTGATGTTGAATATAATCTCTGCAGCAAAGGTTAATAACCAAAAATGGACCTCTATGCAAGTGTTAGAGTGGGGCATGGTTGGTTACTTCAACCCCTGTAAGCATAAATCTAATTTAAAATTTCCTAATGCTCTGTTTGTTTGTTGGAAACTCTAGAGGGAAATGGAAAAAGCTATTCCAAGAGAATATATTCCGGGGGAATAAAGATATTTTTCTGATAAGCTAATGGAGTGAAATAAAGATTTTTGGTATTTTCCTACTTTTGGGGATCCTTCAGTAAAAGTACTAGTATTGTTAACATTTCAATTGGGGAATAAAGATATTTTTCTGATAAGTTAACGGAGGGAAATAAAGATTTTTGGTATTTTCCTACTTTTGGGGATGCTTTAGTAAAACTACTAGTATTGTTAAAATTTCAATTTCCTAAAATACTTATAATTAAACTAAAATTAGTTGAGTAAATTAAACAACCGAGCCTTGTCCCGACTATTTGTGGTTGACTACATGAATCTTATTCCATTTCAATCAATGAAGGGCTGAAATATTCTCAGGATTTATGATCATAAGGGTTCTATCAAAGTTTTACACTGTTTGTCAGCTACCTAACCCAAACCTTCTCTATCTGGCCTTGGGACCAGCTACGTAAAGATAAAACATTATACACACGCATGTAGAGTTAGTTGGGTAAGTTAATTGTTGGAAAATCTCTTTTTCTTTGAGATTTACTTTGTGGCCCAGTACTCTTTATACTGTGCAATGGATCTGCTCCTATTGGTGAATAATTAGTTGTACAAATGGATGTGGCTGGCATTGCACTAAAATTTTCAAAAGTGTTGTTTCTCCTTGTCAATATCAAATAAGGGAGGCATACTTGAAAGGGGCTGTGAATACGCTGATCAGTCATTTTCTTAGTTTTGAGCTCGTTGATGTCTCGAAGAGTGGGGTGAGAATTTTTTGAAATGTCGTTTGGTGTTGGTCGGTTGGTGGAATTTTGAAACCTGCTAAATTGGGGTAGGAGGATGGTTGGAAGTGGCTTGAGTTTCAAAGTTTTTTTGGAAGTTTTGCTGCTCAGTCAGGTTGTAGAATTCTAGATCTTTCCTAGAGGTTGTGTTGTTGTAGCAGTGGCCAGCTAGATAACCCCTCAATGGTCATATAGACAGACTGGGGACTGTGACACTAAAAATCATCATGCGCTGAGGTGGCAACTTATTTGCAATGTGCAGAGGTGCAAGTGACGCAGGATGACCAATCTTGGGTGAACAATTGGTGGTCGTCGTTTGGGTGTTGCTTTATGCCAACAGCTGGTCCCAATCCAAGGTGGTCTGTGTTCGCGTCTTAGGCCTTACCTACATTTCTGGAATGATGCAGCTTTTAATGCCATAGGTGAGAGGTGTTGAGGTGGTCTTGCAATTAAATGATGATATTTGCAACCCTGTCAAACAACTTAGAATTACTATGCCCTTACTTTAACCTCTTCATTTTTTGCTTTTTTGACTCCACAAAATTTTAGTAGTGGGATGTCTGGAGTCATCTAGTGGATAGAGCTGGTGAGAAAATTTAGTTAAGGGTATAATAGTCTAATAAAATATTTAAATAATAAATTTTGTCCTTTATGCAAGATTTTATAATTATGAGGGGGTTTAGAAAGTATAATTTTTTTCTTTATCCTTTTAACAATGAAAGGAAGGTAAAGGGAAATAGCCAGATTTCCCAAATATAAATGAGAGTTCCGTTTAGAGTTTAATTTCCCAACGTAAGATAAGTCTGGATAGGCTTTTTGGTTGTGCCTGGATCCAATGAAATATCTAGTGCTTCCTTTGGGAGGTAATTCAAATTCAAATTTTTATGGCTCTTGTTTTGGATAAAACATATGGTTGATGAAAAAGCTTTGATTTTGAAAGGACATAGATTCACCTAGGTTCAATCAGTTTTGGCAAGCATTCTCATTTATTATTTATCTTTGTTTAAAGTTTCAGTGAGCGTGGAGAATAGTTTGAAAGAAAAACAAAATGCTAAGGGAGTTTTAATGGGATTGAACACTTGATTAGTTGGGATGGTTTTCCATGGAAACGCGATTCCCTATGGCATGTTGTCATTAAGAGTATGGGCTTCAAGTTAATGGTTGGGAACTCTTGGGTGGGTTGTTTGGGGAATTACTGATCTCTGTGGAACTGCATCTCTCAAAATTTTGCATGCTTTTCCCAATACACTCTACTTAATGTGGGAAATGGAGAGTATGTTCATTTACTAATTTTGTGGAACTGCATCTCTCAAAATTTTGCATGGTTTTCCCAATACACTCTACTTAATGTGGGATGTTCATTTACTAATTTTGGTCCTTGTTTGTATTTTTTATCTCAATTCAATGATACCTCGATTGCTTCTATGGTTTTATCTCGTTCTTTGATTTAGTGGAATTTTTGTTTCTTAAGGAATCTTAGAGACCGTGAGGCTAATGAATTTGCTTCTCTAGTTGAAAGTACGGACACGTGAAATGGCATGAACACAACATGGAAATGCCAATGCAGCAATTTAAAAAAAAAAAAATACAGTACATGATGCGTGCACAACACAAAATATAGGGTTTTGCATATTTATTATATATCATATATATGAATATTACGTTCAAAGTTAATTAACATAACCAATTTTTAAAGTTTAAAGAATGATGGATTAATAGTTAGAAATCTACTTTATTTTTCTTTTTTCATTAGATTCTAAAGTTTTATTTATTTATTTATTTATTTAACTTGTAATGAGTTCCACGTGTGTTTAAGGATGGACACGTGTGTCCAAGTTCAAAAAATTTAGAAAAAATAAAACGACACGTTTTGACATGTGTTCAACAAATGACAATCAGTGTCCAATTGATTGTCGGGAAGTGTTAGACACCTTAATAGTGTCTATGCTTCTTAGCTTATTTAACATCTATTCGTGAGGGGGTTTTTTGGTTAACCAAGTTAGTGATAAAGGGTGTGGTCTCTTCATTTGGGTTCTCTCTTCCCTTTTTTCTTTTTTTGTGGTAAATCTTATGATAATTCCAATGTTCTCATCTTTGTCTCTCATAAATTGATTTGGAAAGCAAATATGCCACTTAAGGTTAAAGTATTTGCTTGGACTATGGCTCATAAGAAACTTACTAATGACATGATTCAAAAGGAGGCCGAATTGTTGTTTACACTTACATCCTCAATAGTGTGTATGTAAGGGGGAGGGGAAAATAGTTATCATTAATTTTACGTTGATCAGTGGCTTTGGCCCAATGGTGTAGGAGGGTATATTTATGCAGCAGAGGTGGAATGTACATTCTTTTTGTATTGATTTGCTTTGTATTGAATTAATGGGTTTTGGTTTGAATCCTAAAGCTCAGGTTCTTTGGTGCTGTGCTGTGTAATTTGTGGTTATATGGTTAATTTTGGTTGCAAAGCAACTCAAGAGTGTTTGAAGACAAATTGGAAGACATAGGGGGCTTATTCAGTAAAATTTGCTACTTTGTGAAGTTGTGTGTGATATATAATGTTGTAGTTTTTTTTTTTTTTTTACTATTATTTCTCTTACTTGGTAGATTTCTCGGATGCCTTGTCTTTTTCATCTCTTTTTCACCCTAATCTTTTTAATAAAAAAATTCTTTGTTACTAATAATAAATAAATAAAAAGAGGTGCCACATGATCTTCAAACAAGCCAGAAGCATATGGTTGTGGAACTAAAGGATATACCTTGGTGGAGGGGTATCTGGAAGTAGGATGGATTGTATGAAATTCAATTTTAATATGGGGTATCGCTGGGGCAATACGAGATTTGTGATGGGAGGAGGGACACATGGTAGAAGTTTGGGTGTAGAGTGTACTTAGGGAAGCCCGTGATTGAGAAAGGAAAGAGGCACATTGATGATATTGAAGGCACCAAAATAGTATATGGGCATCTAACAAGGTTGGAAACATGTGGTTGGGACAGCCCAAAACGAAGTGTTTTGTGCTTAGGGTAAGAAGCACACACTTGTACAAAGCTATGTATTCATGTCGGGCATTGGCATTCGTCACACACTCCCTGACCCATTCAATTGTGTCCTAATTGTTATAAACTAAGAAGCACAAACACAAACAACATTTTCTTAAAATTAAGATATACGGACACGATGAGAATATGACAAAAAAATATATTTATACATATATTTTAATTGCTAATTGATATTCACAAACAACTAAAATTAATGAAAAATTAAAACTCATTAAGTGTCCATAGTAGAACTTAAATGCTTTTTCAGGTAGAATGAGTTTTAATTTTTCATTATTTTTAAAGTTATACTATGGACACTTCATTTAAGTTGATCTATACATGTTTGACACTGTTGGACATAGACATGCCTCGAACACACCAAGATGTGTCAGACGCCATGCAGTGTCAAATTTATTTATTTCTTCTTTCTTTTGATACACAAGGATGTAAAACACACCTGAAGTTTGGAAACCAATTGTTAAATTCTAAATAATATAGATGTATACCTATTTAACCTGTCACGTCTATGCTTTTTGACTTTTAGGATTTAAACGAGATTTCTAAAGCTTAGAACTTTTGATTTATTTATTAATAGAGTTTATCTAAAATAGATTTTTTGTTCACTTCTTTTTCAATATGTAGAATTTGTAAAAATGATTTCCTACTGTTTTGATATAATTAATTATAGATGTATTTGTAATATAAAAAAATGAAGAAATTGTTGTTTTTTTCATCTATATATGCAAAATATGTATTTGTTTATAGTTGTGTCGTTACCATGTTATGTCTTAATTTTTTGAAAATAGTCTTGTCAATGTTTCTATATTGTGTTGTATCCACTCTTTTCATCACCACCAGAAAATGTAGAAAACATCAGCTTATGATTTTGAATGCCAGTGTTAACCATTGCACCACCACCAGCAGCCAAAAAATAAAAGAAAAATGCACTTTTTAACTGCCAGCTGCTATGGATTTTCACTCTTCTGAAATTAAATTTTCTACTTGATTAATGCAGAGGGAGTGATTTATCTCCAGAATCACACAGTAATGATTTGAGACACATGATCGATGCTATGAGACTTTCAATCGAGTGTCGTTGGCATCTTTATTTGAAGTTCAGAATACTAGAATTCCAGTGGAAGCTATGGTTGTGGATATGTGAAGCAGATACTAGATAATAACTCTACAAAGAGATGAACCCTAGACCAAGAGTTTTTTTTTTTTTTTTGGGCTTTAGTATTGTGCTCTTTTGCTTTAGTTTATGCAAATTTTTGTTCATTATATTTAATTAATTTATTACTATTGATGTATGGTCTCAATACCCTTGTAATACTGTGTATGTCCCAGCTAAATTATTTTTAAGAGCTCAACAAAAACTTTGTAGATCTTGGCCTATATTGGAAAATTCAAAATCTGAAAGTATTAAGTGGTTGACTGTTGGATATATCACCTCATGTTGAGGGGGTGATAATGCACCACTTGAAGAACCCACTTGGAGAGAAAGTGGGGGTGGCTCACCAACTCCAACCCACTAGAGAGTGGAAAGAGGTAGGTGGTGACCAATCACATCCTCCCTCAATTGTGTATAGATTGAGGTGAGGAGGAGGGGTTGGAGAGAGAGAACCAAGAGAGTGTAAACCAACCAAGAGAGTGAGAGATGTGAGGTAGAGAAATCGTCTCTCTCGGTGTGAGCGAGGGAGACGGGTGAATGAGTGAATGAGGATAGTGTGAGCTCCTCCTTTATTGTAATCTTTTTATAATCTTTCCATTATTATAGTGATAAACGGTTACTCTCCCGTGGATATAGGCATTATTGCCGAACCATGTTAAATATGGTGTCTCCTTTGGTGTGGGTGTGTGTGTTTCTGCTTGGTATGATTTCTATAAAGTCTTGGGCGGGATCCCCGATCCCCTACAAGTGATATCAGAGCCTCGTCAGTCATTTTCGGAACAAAAACAGTATGATTTTCAAAACTGTCCAGAAATCAAACTGCTCGAAATCAGGTTTTGAGCATACCAAGAGTAAGGTCTCGACGAGAGGAGCCCAGAAATGCAAAGAAGAGCCCTAGAGGAGGCTGGACGCACCCTCACGTGCCTCCTGAATATGGCGCGTGAGGCCCAGTCTCAGCACACGCCCCCACGCGTCGTTTGATGTACCGGCGCGTCATTCAAGTCGCGTCCACGCGCCACACGCATGGCAGAGGAAGAAGACGAGACGCGTGGCACCACGTCATTGACACGTCAGCGCCATATGGCACCACGTCAGTAGGAGCAGCCACGTGTCTGCCACGTCATCAGCCTAGTCAACGCCACGTGGTAGTCCAGTCAACGCTACGTCATTTGCCACGTCAGCACAATGAGACATGATTCAATACAACACGGCTAAGGTGTAGCCGCAGAGAATTGATCCAGTGCTATACGGCTAAGGTGCAGCCGCCTATCTGAAGCGTCCAAACTATTTTGGCTAGATCTGAGCCATTCGGAGTTCGTTTCTGACAATCCAATAGTGGTTTCCAACTATTTGGAGTATTCTGGACCCATCTGTACGATCAGATGTTTAAATCTGAGCTTTTGGAAATCACAAGTTGGCCAGAGGTTTTACGAAATTGCATATTGGCCTTTGGAAGTTTGGTAAATTGCAATTTGGTCCCTGAAGTTTTCAGAAATTAGAATTGGTCATTGAATTTTTGGAAAATTTCATTTTGGCCCCTATAGTTTGTGAAATTACAGTTTGGTCCATGTGTTTGGGAAATTTGCAATTTTATTGCAGTTTTGGAGAAATTTTTTAGTGAGGTCCCCGGAAGTGCAGCAACAGTTGGTCCTAGCTAATCAGATCGTTCCGGATGCAACCACGAGGTCAGAATGATGAAATTCTGAATGGTTTTTAAAGATTGTCAAAACATGGGAGTTTGCCATCTTTAATAGTCGAAGGAAGGTTGCCGGATATTGTGGAACGCTGCAGATTCACTGAAGATGTTAGAATTGGCAGATTCTGACTAGATTGGACAACCAGATACAGATCGAGATAGATCATTGAAGACCAAAGGAGATCAGGCTTGATCAAATGGCAAATCAATGGAGACCAAGATTGGTCAGGGTGCGATCAGAAGAATTGCACATGATTATCTCAAGATCAACAATGTCTAGGAAAGTTTTGTCAAAAAGACACTGTTTAAGGAGACTAGTTCTTGAGTGGGACTAGTTGTGACCCCACCAGTCTTTCCTAGGAACTTTCCTGGTTGTTGAGTTTAGGCAATCGAGAGATCTGGTTCAATCGGAAGAAGACCATTTCATCGGGAGACAGACGATTGGCAACCAGTATAGGCTTAGGGGAATGTTGTGGCAGTTGGAGCTACTGTCAAACATAATACAAGAAGTACTGGTAGTATGTGAACGTGGAAGGGCAACAGCTGCAGTAGTGCACACATAAGGTGTAGGAGCACGTACCTACAATAGCACATATGAGTACGCACGAATGTCGTACAAGGTGCTGGCGTACAACAGTGCAAGAGTGCGCAACAGAGTCGTACAAAGGTGCAGTGTGCCGGATTTTGGCCTAGCAGCAGCAACTAGTTCACAGAAGAAAGCTCCAGACAGAGAAATTGAAAGGGATAAGACGCTATAATGCGCACCCAGTGAGAGGTGGATTTTTTCTTTGTCCTGAATCTAGTTCGTGGCAGTGAAGTTGCGACGGGCACCTTGAGAGTTTGGGTGGAGTCACCTCAACAAGGAAAGTATAAGCATTCCTAATGATAGAGGTGCGAGCCATGCAGAATAATGTGTGACGGTTAAAGACATTCCAAGTAGGAGGTGCAGATTCACTCCGGATGCTCGGTGGAATGGAGGCATATTTGTACAATGGTGTTTTATCATCTATGTGGGTGATAGGGGTGACAAAAATTTTGTTCACCCGGTTGAAGCCAATTGGAAGCCAATTGAAGACCTTTCAGAGTCAGTTGCAGAAGTTATCAGTTTATTTAGAGACTCTTGGGTTAGTTACAGAACTTCAGAGTTCATTCGGTTTTTCTCTAGGGGATAGAGAGAACAAGCATTGGCAGAGTGTACTACGGAGATTTGGCATATGTAATAAGTCCAAATAGTAGTACTTTATT